AGGCTTCCAGGCTGGGTTGGGCATTTCTCCTGTGCTTCTTCAGTTCCTCAGTCCTCTCCCACTTTGCACTTGTGACCTGGGATGAACAAATCACTTTTCAGATCTGCCACTTGCCATGAAATGGGAAAAACTTTCACCACAACCAGCACAGCCGCTGGCCACCCCCTGCTTCCCTGGCTTGCCCCCCAGCCTGTCCCCTTCTCTTCCACCTTGAGTCCTTCTTGCACCCCAGTATCATTGTTGGTCCTAGGATCCACCTTCCCCTGGAGCTAGGAAGGGGTCTCTGAAGGTGTCTCGTCCGTCCAGCACTGGGCCCCCAGCCTGACTGACCTGCTGGAAGGAAGAATCCATCCTGACATTCACCTGAGCATGGTCTCCATTCTCCACACAGGGAAACCGAGCACCAGGAGGCTCATGGCAGAGGCGGGCCCAGGGAGGACTTTTCTTCCCTTTTTGTCATGTGAGACCCAATAGCTTCAGGTGACAGCAACAAATCTTCCAGCCCTGGTGTTTGAGGCCAACCCCCAACCAAACTGCAGCCCCTACTGCAGCCCAGGATCCACTTGCTAACATCAGGCAGCTTTTGGGGACCTCATCACCTGCTTTTCCATCTCCTGAGGGGACACGGGGTGGTTCTGAGCTCTGGAGTCCCAGGTTAATGACCTCACCCAGCTACTCTTATGGCCTGGCAAGGTGAAGAAGGCTCCTGGGATTGCTGCAGCAACAGAGTGATGGGGTAGCTGTGTAGGCAGGGTCCCTCCCCAACCACACTGTCCCCTCTGCCTGGCCCCGCTGCGGTCATGGAGCTCCCAGGGAGGTTCCGACCAGCCGGCTCCAGGCCCCTGGGGTCCATCCCATCCCGGGAGGACCTTCAAAGGACTGAGCCATTCTTGAGCAAGTGCCAGGAGGGAATCTGCTCTCAGAGGCAATTTAGGCAGCCACACGGGTGGAAGGAATTTGCCTTTCCTCTTAACAGCGACCCCATCGAGATTTATACGGGGCCACTGTCCGAAGGCCCCGGCGGATGGATGCTGTGTGCAAGAGGAAATGCCGAGCCCGGCGTCTTGCTGGGCTAATTGCCCTCAATGAGCCGCAGCTGGCCGGGGGAGCCAGCGGGCCAGGCAGACCAGCCACCACCTCCCGGGATCCCCGTCTGCCCTGGCCTGCCCGGGCTCGCTGCCATCACAGCCCAGGTCCACTCAGGGGTCACCAGGAATCCCGGACAGCCGGAAGTACAACCACCATCAGACAGGCTCAGGCCCGGCGCAGCCTTGGGTTTGTAGCTGCTTTGAGAGCTGAGACACCAGGGGCTACTGGGCTCCATTCTGCTGAGAGGGACACTGAGGCCTAGACAGATAGGGCAGGGCCCCTGGATTGGAGGAGTCTGAACTAAAACAGAATGAAACAGTAGCCTCTTAGAGGCCTACAGCCATGCAGCAGCCAGCAGAGACTTGTGGGGCTCGTGGTTAGCTCCCTGGGCACTTCCAAGAATGCCAGGCCCAGTGTGAGGTGCTGAGGGCACCACAGAGGGCAGAATCCATCCTGACCCCTGTTCCTAGGGGTGTATGGCACTGTGGGGAGACAGACACCAGTTACGGAAGTATCTGGTGCCCTAAAAGTACTCAGGGCTTGATCCAGTCTGGGTAGCTGGGACAGAGCATGTTCCACAGAGTTGAGCAGAAAGCAGAGAGGAATGTGCGTAATTGGGCAAGGGAGGGAGGTGCTAGAGGGGAGAGGGTTCCAGGGAGTGGGAACAGCATAAGCAAAGGTCCTGGGGCAGAAGGAAAGGGGATATTCAGGGAAGGAATGAAGCCATGCAGCTGGGCCAGTAGTGGAGGGACCGAGGTTACAGGGCAGGGCAGGGAGGCAGCAAGGGGCAATTGTACTTTCAGAAAGGTGAACCCAGGTCTGGCTTAGGATAGGTGACCCCTCACAGCATACCCACACAGCACGCAGGACACCTTCCCTACCTGCCATCATTTCTCTGGGCCTCACTGTCCTTGTCTGGCTTTTAGGAGTGTCAGTGCCCAGCTCTGCTGTGTACAGCTCCTGGCAGCCTGGACCAGGGTTTGGGCAGCCATCTGGGGCCAGGCATCTTGAGAAACAGAGATGCAGATCCACGCGGCAGGAGGCTCTGGGTCAGGGTAGCTGACAGCAGCAGGGAGCCTTGACCTGGGGGAGGTGCCAGAGCCTGGCAGCTAACAGCAGCACCATACTCAGCTTCCGTGCCACTTGTCCTTGAGGACAGGACAGGGCATCCCTGGTGTTAGTGACTGCCTTTGGGTCCTGGGAATGGAGGAGGCGGAAGCGAGCAGATGATGGAAGGATGGAGACACATGTCTCAGCCTCCTCGCTGAGCCTCAGGGCACCCATGGTCTCCCCCCAGGCTACCGTGAGTCCACTTGAGCCAGGCCCCTGTCTGCTGTCACAGAGTGGAGCCTGGGGTGAGCAGGGGCCCAAGGCCTCCAGGTGCCCACTCCCAATTGCCTCGCTCTGGGCTGCTCCTGTGGAACACAAACTGGTCTGACGGGTTCATTAGCAGGAGAGACAGCTCCATGCATGATTTCCAGGAAAGCAAAGGTCTTCAAGAGCAAGAGGGAGCCAGATCTGCGGTGGAGGGAGGAAGGGAGCTTCCAGAATCTGTTCCTTGTGTCATGGGCCAAGAGCTTCAGGGTGACATCCTGGCCACCTCCTCTGAGGGACCCATAGAGACCTGCATTGGCCAGAGGCCCGGGAGCATGCATGGCCCTTCCTAGTACACCACTCTCAGTATGACACAGTGGCAGGCCCGGAACCCCACACCCCACTGAGCTCAGGCTTCAGGGTGCGGACTTCCAGCTCCACCCTGACCGTGGGCAGGACTCAGTTTCCTTTTCAGTATGAACACAGACCTTGGCGTGGAGGCTGGCACTTCTGAGCCCATGCAGTTGGCACACCTCGCGCCCCCCCCGCCACCGACCCATCAAGTCCTCCCACCCTCATGTCTCTTCCTGACCCTGGACCTTTGCCAGATCCTCCACTGCTATCATCACTCACCCAAGGGACTCCCCCAGCCCAGACCGCATAACTCTTCGCATGCCCTGCACCCCAAGAGTTCTTTTTCCTATCTCCAGACCGCATCTGCTTCTCTCTCTCTCTCTCTCTCTCTCTCTCTCTCTCTCCCCACCCCCCGCACCCCCTCAGTAGGGCCTTTGTACTGAGCTATAACTGCCGCCTGTTTTTATATTTTATTCTGAGACAGAGTCTTGCAGATTCACTAAGTTGCTCAGGCTGGGCTCAAACTTACAGTCTGCCTGGCTCGGCCTGCCAGAGAGCTGGGATTACAGGTGTGCTGTTGCACCTAATTTTGAGATGCACCCGGACAATCTTCCACTTACGTTTACACCCAAGTCTCAAGGCACTGGGTACAAGAAGAATGGGGACAGACTGCTAATGGATTTCTTGTAGGAATGACAGAAGGTTCTGGATAGTGGTGATGGTTATAGAATCTTGGGTGTGTACTAAAAGCTACTCTGAAATGTTACCAACTTCCCACGGTGAATGTATTCATTATGTGCTGCAAACACATACTAATAAAGTAATAAGAATAAAATGGTGAGTGTTATGGTTTCTGAGATACCGCAATAAAAAGGCTTTTCAAACATGAAAGAAAATCTCTTCCTCCTTTGGCGTAGCCTCCCTGCGCACCACTGGCTGCTAGGGGGGCTGGGGCTTATTCTCCCTGCTCTGTGGGTTCTCACCATCATGCAGCAGTCCTGCTCTGATGGGCTTCGTGTCTTCTGTCATCGAGGATGGCACCAGTCTCTAAGTCCCTGTCCCTGAGCTTTGATGGGTCTTTGACAGCACTCCTGGTGGAACATGGCTTGGTGTGGGATTGCTGCTCTGTATGCGCGTGGGCTTAACTTGAATAGAGTTGCCAAATAGCGTCCCAGAGTGGGAGACCTGCCCCACACTGAGCTCCGAGGGTCCTGGGGGCTCCTTCCTCACCAGCAAATCTTTTAGTTTAGCCATTCAGATGAATGGGTACCATACTTTAGTTTTCACTTGCCATTTACCTATAAGGAAAGAAGCTTAGCATCTTGTTTAAGTGAATTGTCATCTACTTGGGTTTTGGTTTTTTTGTTGTTTTTTTTTAACCTTTGTATGTTGTTGTTTTGTGGTACTGGAGATTGAACTCAGGGCCTTTGAACTGAGCTACATCCCCAGCCCTTACTCTCTGAGACAGGATCTTGCTAGTTACCAAACTGTCCAGGCTGGGCTTGAACTTGTGATCCTCCTGCCTCACCCTCCCAGAGTGGCGAGATTACAGGTTCTCCCCACCACACCTCACTTCACCTTTCTATTATTTATGTGCAGGATTCACAGTCTGGATATCATATCTTTGTAAGGATCGATGTGTTACTACTATCTTCTCCACCCTTTGGCTTGTCTTTCCTCATTCTTAATTGCATTTTTTTTTTGGTTAGCAGAAGTTTTTAATTTTGATAAAATCCAATTTACCCAGTTTTTATTTCATGTTTGGTTCCATACGTGTCCTGGTTAAGAAATCTTTGCCTACCAGTGAATATCTTTTGAATCTGTCCCTTCATTTTGCCCAGCTCCTGCTGCCAGGTGCCTCTGTTCCACTGCCCTGTCCCCCACCAATGTCCTGCCCCACTTTCTGTCCCCTCCACCCAGCCTTCTGTCCCCTCCACCCATGCTACAGCCCACATGGCCCTCTTGCCCACAGACAGGTCTGATTCCTCTTGTGCAGTTCCTGAGACTGGCAAGACCCTGGCACACACTAGGTACTCAATAAAAGCTGTATAAAGGGAGGCAATGTTCTGCGACCCAGCTGGGGACCATTAAAACTGTCAATTAGTTCTAAACACCAGCTCATCGGGAACAGTTGAGCAGAGCCAGGGAACCAGAGCATTTTGGAAAAACCAACACGATAGGAATGTTCACTGTCTCCCCAGCCGGAGTGCTCAGCACGCAAACTCAGACCTTAGCATGATTTATTCTTGCTTCACCCCAACCTGTGGGACAGGAGGAGCCTCCCCAGTGCCCTCGGGCTGAAGGAGCCCCTGCTGACTCTGAAAGCAGGGTGGGTCTGTGTCTCCTAGTCTTTCTCTTCACCATGCGTGATGACGTAGCACAGGTTCCTGTAGTCCAGGTTGCCGCACACATCTGGTGGGAAAGCTGCAAACATCTGTTTGACCTGGGGAAGGGGCAAGGAGTCAGGCTGGACCAGGGATGAGTAGGGGCCAGAGTGGGGACCTTTGGTACCCTGAAGGCCACACTCACCTCCTCCTCACTGAACCGGTCTGCCTGGGTCATGAGCTTCTCCTTGATGCTGCTCGAGGAGAGAAGAAGTCATGTCCAGGGTAAAGGCAGAACCCAGCAGTGATGCGGAGGACAGGGCCAGCCTGGCGCTGACACCTGAGCTCCTGGCATCTCTCTGAGCCCCAGCTGCCTCCTTTATAAGCCAGGCTCACCACCAGCCTTGGGTGGGGATCAAACAGAATGACCTCAAGACCCCATCATGACCTTGAGACCTCTGATTCCCACGATCAACCTTAGGGTCACTTAGGGGGACACTCGGGCCCCTGGAGCCTCTTGATCTTATTCTTGGCACTCTGACTTTTCCAGTTTGCGACTTTTGCTAACATCTGCATGGCATTGCACAGACAACAGGAAGCTTGTCAAGGGTATGGGAAGGCCTGCTATGCTGGGGCCTCTCGGACATTAGCTCTCCCAGACGTGGGAAATGGGTTCTCTGACCCTCCTCTATGTGGAGGGAAACTGAGGCTCAGGAAGCCTTAGGACTTGCCAGATGTCCCAGAGTGTGGCTGTGCCAATGTGGAGCCTGTACCACTTATTATTGAGGAGGACAGCTGGTCACAGCCACCAGAGTCTCCTGGGACCACAGGAGCCACACTAGGTCTGTGCACAAGGGAATGGCATCCCCTGGAACTTGGGGCCCTTGCAGGGTTTACTTGGGGGACTTGGTGGACAGGGATGGGTTCTGAGGGCTAGGCAGCCCCACGCACTCTGGTGTCCTCTGGCGCCACTGAGGACCGACACACATTTTCCATTATTTATGTTACTACGGGACAGTCACAGTTTCCAACTCCCCAGGCTGGGGACTTTTCACAGACTCTGTTTCAACCAGAGCTTCCTCTGTGGCCTATCTGGCCAGCAGCCATATCATCCGGGTCCTGTGGCCCAGGGAGGAGTCTTCTTTCCCAAATTGGGTCCCCAGATGTCTCCAGCTCCGTCCTCAAGCTGGGAGGAGACAGTATGAAGCGCTTGCAGCCCCTTCACAGCCTGGGAGTCTGTCAGACCCTACCCCACAGGAAGGGGTACTGATGGGCAGCAGGACTCCCCACACCCTGACCTCCAAAAGCCTGTACTGGTGGACAGCTCCCCTGTCCTGGGCCGCCATGGCCCAGCCAGGCTCAGAAGGCATCCCTGGGATGCTGGGCAGCGAGCAGTCACTGCCCCCCTGGGGCTTCCAAGGGAGAGGCTCCCAGCCCCATAGGCCCCCTGGGGCAGCGCCTACCTCCACAATGCTGTCTCACAGGCTGCACATGGCCACCCAAGCTGAGCTGGCCTCCTCCCCAGCCCTGCTTCCTTCCCCAAGTCCACCCAGGCTGTGATGGACAACCAGCTCAATCCTCACCACACCCTGGGTCCCCTGAGCACTGTCACCTGCTTTTTTACTGACCCACTCATCTGTCCCTTCTGGTTTTCCCATGCACCCCACACAGCCCTGTCCCATGTGGCCCCTGCCCATGTCCCTGAGCTTCATCTCCCCCACCCCACCTCTGCCCACATCTTCCAGCTCTCTGCCCACAGGTGTCAAGCCCTGACCCTTTGCAGGCTCTGTTCCCCACCTAAAATGCTGTTCCTGCCCTATGCAACCTGAGACCTCCTTCAAGTACCACCTCTGTCCCCACCCCATTCCCGTCACTGGGAAGCCTTCCTTGAATGACCCCCCCACACACACACACACCCTTCCTATCCTCTTCAGAGGGGGACACCAAGGCCTGGGCCAGAGAAGGGACATCAGAAGACCTGGCCAGATACTACAAAGCTCAGCAGAGTTCTGGGTGGAAGAGGAGACCATATTGCCACCCACTCAGCCCATGTATCCCCTGAGTCCTTGGGGGGGGTGAAGCCCTCGGTGAGTAGGGGACTTACAAGTCAGCCTTGACGAACCCTTTCCCTTCGGTGTCAAACACCTTGAAGGCGTGGAGAATGGTCTCCTCCGGGTCGGTGCCTACAAGCAAGCAACACATGGAGTAGGGAGAGAGGTAGGAGAGACCCTCCATAGACAGGTGCCTGGGTCTCTGACTCCACTCCAAACCGAGGCCCAACTCCTCTTGTTACAAAAGAAGAGGGTCAGTGAGATAGCTCAGCAGATTAAGTAAGCACTTGCTTAGGCAAGCACAGGGACTGAAGTTCGATCCCCAGCACCACAGGCCGTGCTGGCCCTGCCCCTGAGGGTGCCGAGTGGGCAACAGAGACCACGTGTGGTGGCACACAGCTATAATTCAGCACTGGGGAGGCTGAAAACAGGAGGATCACTATGAGTCCAAGCTGTGTAGTGAGACCCTATGCATTAAAAATGGTGGGGGGCCTTGTTTCAGGGATACAAGTGAGAGTAAGAGCACAATGGAACTGCACACATGGACCCATGAACAACCTGCACAACTGCACACAGACACCCTACTTGCTGTGTTCTTAACCCTCCTGACAATTGCTCCTATTTTATAGGTGGAAACTGAGGCTTAGACAGGTTACAGTGTCTGTCTTGCCAAGTTCTTGAAACTGATATGGATGGTTACAGGATCGGTGAGCCTGGGGCAGCCACTCCAGGGCCTCACTCATTGCCCGCTGTGCACGGAGCCTGTGAGTGAAGGAAAAGGATCTCTGAACTTGGGGACTGGGGCGGAGCTGGGTCAGCCCCCTGCAGGGGTCTTCAGGACTGTCCCGCTGGAAGTGTCAGGAGGTAGGAGGGTGGGTGGCAGTGCAGCCAGCCCAGAGCTGGTCATCACTTGCATGGCTTTGATTTTGGTTTTTTTTTGGCAGAACCAGGGACTGAACTCAGGGCCTTGTGTTTGCCGGGGAAGCGCTTATTCCACTGAGCCATCTCCCCAGCCCTCACTTGCATGGCTTTGAGAAAAGCTGCATTGGAATAAATGCTCCTGATTTTTGTGTTTTGTTGAGGGGGGGTACGGGACTTGAACTCAGGACCTCATACTCGCCAGGCTGAGACACTGAGTTAAATTCCTGGCTCCTAATAAATGCTTCTGAATCCCACAGTAGCCTTGAATACCCTGCACCCTCATTCTTCTAGTGCAGAAAGTGAGGCCCAGCAGGAGGAAGGGTCCTTGCCCGAGGCTACCCAGGCAGCACGAATTGCATAACCTGACGACCCTCACCTGGACCTCTTTCCCCTGTGACAATTCACCTTAAGCCTCCTTCATTTCCCCACTGCTGCCAGTCAGGGGAGCAGAGGTGGTGTCTGCTGCCCCTCATACGACCCGCTGGATAATGCACTGTGGCTGGATTTCAACACACATCCATGAGTTGGGCTGCAAACAGCGCGAGTGCCCTCCCAGGCTCTAGGCCTGTAGTTTTGCTACTGCCCCGAGGGAGACCCGAGCACCCTGGATAGTAGACACCACGCAGAGGAAAATGAGGCCTAGAGGCTTTCCCTGACTTCCCTGAGAGTCCACTCATAAGAGAAGGGAGGATTTAACCCACTTCTGTGGATACCCAAGTGCCCTGTTTCTCCCGCCACTGGAGCTCCTGCCAACCAACCTGGTCATGGCCACCTGTGCTCCTCTATTAGACTGGATTGGGACCATCTCTGTCTCTCCCATCACACTGGAAGCTCATCCAGAATAAGGAAGGCAGTGTCCAAGTCACTCAGTCTCTGAGGCTGCCTGGGGGTGTGGGAGGGTTCAGAGCCTAGGCTGCTCTGGTTGTGCCAACCCGGAGCTACTGCAGGGTGGAGACCCGGCTTCCTATGCAGGGCTGGCAGAGGCTGAGCCCCGAGCTGGCTGTGCTGGGATGAATGGAGAGGTCAGAGGGCCATGATGGGGCTACTGTAATATCTGAGCTCTGGAGGCCCCAGCCTCCCAGACTTCAGCAATTAGCTGAAAACTTCCAGTGACTTTGAAGAGGCCTCACAGCTGGGGCCAGTTTGTGATGGGCTCCCACAGCCCTGGGTGGACCAGGCCCAGCTGGCGGCCCCTCACCTCTCTGGCCACTCCCTGCGTGGGGGCTGGGAGGACCAGGAACATGGTCCCCAGAGGAGGCCTCTGCTCCAGGCCTGTGGACCTCATAAAACCAGCTGCAGAGTGGCTGCTTCCCGTCACTGGGAATCTCACGACATTCTCCTATCCCAATTAGCGGGATGAGGCGGTGCCGCCCCAGCCCCTGCCAGCCTGGCTGCTGGTCTGTCACGCAGGCTTGGCCACATTCAAATGACAGGCCATGGGCCCCTGCACAGACGAAAAAGCTGAAGCCTTGCGGGCCCCTGGCTCACCACTCCAGCTCAGCCACAGCAAGGGCCTGTGCCTCACCTAGGCTGCCAACAGGCCACGGCCCTCCACAGCTAGAAGAGCTCACCCCTTCCCCAGAGAACCTTGAAGCTCAGGTCTCAGCCCTTCCAGGCTCAAGTTGCAGCCTCTCAGGATCCTGCTTCCCCGGCTATAAACTGGGACCAGTAGCTGGGCATGGTGGCACGCACTGTGATCCTAGCACTTTGGAAGGCTGAGGCAGAACCACTGCAAGGTCAAGCCCTTCCTGGGCAATTTAGTGAGACCTATATCAAAATTGAAAATGAAAAAAAGGCTGGGGATATAGTCTGTACAAAGGCCCTGGATTCAATCTCCAGTACTACCAAAAAAAAAAAAAAAAGTGGAGGGCAAGTTCCTGCTCTGTTGGGCTACTGGCTGGAGCCACCCAGTTCACTAGGCAGTGCTTGCCCTGACCCAGAGCTCTGGACTTCTGAGTTCTTCCGGGAGGTGGACATGGGCCTGAAAACAATCTCTAGCAGCTTCCATGATTCAAAGGCTGCCCTAGAGAGGGTGCCCAGCCTCCCAGCCCCAGCGTCCTCACCTCTCACCCCCAGGCTGATCGTGGACCTCTTTCTGGCTCTGGAATCAAGCAGGTGTTATGTGCAGATGCTGCGGTATTCTCCTCTGCCAGGACACTACTGATCTCCTATGATATTAATAGGACTTGCCCAATAGTGGGCTCCAAAAAACACTGCCACCAGAACCTGTGTCACCATACTTGGGAAAAGGGACTTTATAGATACTAGTCAAAGATCTTGAGATGACAAGATCATTCTGGAATCTATAGACAGGTCCTTAAATCCAGTGACAATTGTCCTTATCAGAGGAAGGCAGAGAGCCAGGATTAGGGGGAGAGGGGACCATGTGACCCTGAGATGGACATGGGAGTCAGGCAGCCACTGGAGGCTGGGACAGATTCTCCCCTGGGGCTCAGCGAGCCTTGCCCAACTAGATTTCAGACTGCTAGACACCCTAAAAGTGAGAATACAGTTCTGATGTTTGACACCACCATATTTGTAGTCATTTGTCACAGAAGTTTAGGAATAAATCCTCCTTGTGTAGACTAAAAATGGAGGTGGAGAGAACAGACAGGTCTGCCCAAGGTCACCCCCAGTCTTGTCTTCCATCCTGTGGGAGGCCAGATCTAGATACCAGATCTGGCTAAGGCAAGGAAGACATCAGATGGCAACAGGTGACAGTGGGTAACAAAAGTGTCCACCTCTGGGACAACCCAGGCAGGCCCTTCTTTCTACCCACAAAACTCTTAAGCTCTGAGGATATCATTAGAGGGCCTCTGAGGTCTGGCAGAGAAAGAGCACAGGGAAAAAGAGGCCCTAATGCTGTGTTGGCAGATGGCAGCAGCGAGGGCCTGGGTCCAGACTTAGACTCCAGGGGAGCCACTTGTTTGCTGGGGCCCTGGGGCAGGGGTCACAACCTCTCTGAGCCTCCTTTGAGTCTTTATTTCTGAAAAGCAGCTCCCTGAGCTTTTCTTGGGGGCTGTGGTGACTATCACAGGACAAGGTTGGTAACCTGTCCAGGACTGGGTTTGTCACTGTTGCCCTTTTCCCCACAACACCCCTATGCCTGCCCCCCAATGGCAGGGGCATCAAAGCACAGCAGAGGGGAGGCAGGAGGAAGAGAGGGGGGTACTGACCTTGGGGTGAGTATAGGACTCAACAGCAGTTGGAAACTGAGACAGGGCCTCGGGGTGCTGTATGTACCCAGAAACTGGCATCATGGGCCATGCTGTGTTCCCACCTGTGTCCATGTCCAAGGGCTGGGGCTGGCAGGGTGCAGGGGACTTGTCTACCTCCAGCTTCAAGGTCCTGTCCCTCGGGCCACTCACCCTTGAGCTTCTCCCCAAACATGGTCAGGAAGACGGTGAAGTTGATGGGCCCAGGAGCCTCCTTCACCATGGCCTCTAGCTCCTCATTCTTGACATTGATGCGGCCTGGGGAGGACAGCAAGAGGGGGACCCAGGACCAAGAAGGGGTCAAAAGGACCTTGTGAGAGGCAGCCGAGGAGAGACCCCCAGTCTCCCAGCTCTACTGTCCCACCCGCATGACACAGTCCTGAAGTCTTGATCCCTGGGGGAGGGGCCTGCAGGGACCACTAGTGGGGGTACACAGCTGCCAAGGTCTCATGTACCCCTGGGAGTGGGGACTCTGGATTCCTCAGGATCCCAGTGGACATGCTGATTCCTGGGGACTCAGGACCCAGCAGAGATGACCTAGTGATATCTCTTCTCCCACCCAACCCTACCAGAGCCCCAAGTTTTCTCCCTGGCAGCTGACATCCCATGACCCCTCATCACCCCAGGCCTTTGCCCAGGCTGTTCCTGTCCTGGGAGATCCTTATTGCCCAGGTTCTCGCCCTCAAGCCTGGGGACCTCCCCCACCTTCCGGGCGGCTCCCTCCTCTGCATCCCTTGGCTCATGACCCCTCCATCCCTGAACCCCCACTCTTGCTGGGTGGCCTGGCCTTGGTCCCACCCCAAGCCCCAAGCTTCCCTAGCTGCTGGGCCACCCACCCAGTGCAGCAAAGGTGTCTCTCAGGTCCTCTTTGTCGATGAAGCCGTCCCGGTTCTGGTCCATGATGGTGAAGGCCTGGCAGAGACACTGGTGCTGAGCAGGCATCAGCCTGCCCAGCACAGCTCACTTGGCACCATCCCCCTGGGGCTGTCCCCTACCCCCTGCTGCCCCAAGGACCTCATCACAGGCCCCTTCAGCCACCCAGCCACCCAGCAGGCTGCCAGCATCCCTTCTTTACAGAGCAGGAAACAGGCTCAGAGAGACAAAGGCATTGGCTGGGGTCACCCAGGAGGCATAGACTCAGGTACAGGGAGAAACGGGCTGCCTTTCAGGCTCTGCAGCATGCCATGGGCTGCTGAGGGCCAACTGAGCTTCTGACTTTCTTCTCCGTGTCCCTGTGTTCTTTTTAATCTTCCCATGGCCTAGGGGACAGTGACTGACCTCCTTAAACTCCTGGATCTGCGACTGATCGAACATGGAGAAGACATTGGAGCTGGCTCCCCCTTCCACTCTCTTCCTGGCTCTCCGGGGTGCCTGCAAGGGAGTGGGGAGGTCTTGTGTGGTGGCATGGATGGGGAGACTTATTCTATCCTCTGTCCCTGTCCCCTCCCCTGCCATCCTCCACCACAGCTGTAATTTCACCTTGTCCATCTGCAAAAAGCTTCCTGAAGGTTCTCAGGATCATGTCTGGGTCTTGGGCAAAATCTGTCTCTCCCTGTATTCCCGATATTCTTTCATCCCCCTCCAGGGTCCCTTCTCACTCCAACCTCACTCTGAGCTACCTGCCACCCAGCAACTGCTCCTGCACCCCACACTCAGAAAGACTTCCCATTTTCCTTCTAGAAGAATCCTATATATCAGCTCCTCTACTTAGTCTAAGAAGCCTTTTCTGACCTCCCAGACCACACATTCTCTCTGCTCTGGAGCTGTCACCTGCCTGGCATGCGCCACACTGTTCTCCCATTTCTGTCCCTTTCTGTGCCCTCAACTAAGTGGAGACCCCAACAGTGAGGTCCATTGTGTCCCATCCTTGGCTTCTCCACCCCACCCCACCCCTGGCCCCCAGTGGTGTCAGGCCATTTTGGAAAGTAGCTGCCCAGAGCCCAGACTCCACTTCTGTGGCAGGTAGAGTGGCTGCCTCCCACATGGAGCCATCTCCTTGTCTGGCTGGCCGCCTTCCGCCTTTTCAGGATGGCGTGGAGCCTGAGGGCTGCCACTGACACTGGTGAAAGTTCCAAGTCCCCAGTACCCCTGGAAGGGTCTCCCTTCAGCAGCCATCATTGCAGACTCCAGTCCTGGGGGTTCCCCAAACTGGCCTTGACAGGGGAAGAAAGCTACCCAGGTGTCCTAGGAGAGAGGCGAAGGGGCAGCTCCCACCACTAGCTCAGCCAGCGCCACCCTCCACCAAGCCCTCATCTGGACGCCCAGCCTGAGCTCTGCCTGTGCCCCGCCCCTCACCCCTGCGCCTGTGTGGTCTCCCCTGCCCCCATCCAGCCCTCACCCCCACTTCCCTCCGGCTCCTGGGCCCTTGTTGGAGCAGCAGCACCCGGCTGACTTATAATTAGCTTTTACTGGGTGCTTTGTCTCCGCTAATCCTTTGAAAGGGGGCTGGCAGGGCGGCTGGGATGTTAGGGTGCTGTAAAACCTCTGTAATATTTATAAATCCCTTCAGACAGCATAAAGAAAAGAACTTCCCTGCAGAGTTCAGCTCACATAATTACATATACATTTCCCTCTGATTAATAAAAAATGATCACTTCCGTCTGGGGGATATTCTGCCTTTTCTTGCTCAGATCTAGCTTCAGCCTCACTCCCCCGCCCCCACCCCAGCCTCTCAAAGCCAACTTCCTCAGCACAGGCCACCCTACTGTGGTCCAGAGCTCTTCAGGGGAGGGAGCTCTGAGGCCTGGGCCCTGGCTGTCTTGCGACCTCCCCTCTATGATGGACCCCTGAAAAAATAAGATCCCCTGAAAGGAGCATCCCAGGAAAGATGTGGCCCACAAGACCTGAGTTCTCTTCGGACTTTGCTGCTCACAGCCTCTGTGTGGTACTGAGAAACACACTTAACTTCTCTGAGCCTCAGTTTCCCCCTGATAAAAGCAAGAGAATGCCCACCTCAAAGTATCAGGACATGTATTGAATACCTGTGCCTGATGCCTGGTTCTGGGACCCAGAGGTGAATCAAAACCTGTCCTTGTCCCCAAAGAACTCACAGTCCAGAAGCCATAGAGGACGACAGAGGGGACGCAGATGCCTAGCCTGATTCAGGCCAGGAGTGACTTGTGGGGGCAGAAAGTAAGACACAGGCCTCAAAGAGCAATAAAATATGCAGGGGACCCAAGGGGCTGGATCACAGGGACAGGGACAGTGGCAGGTGAACCCCATGCCTTGGGCTGGGGCAGCACAAGGGGCAGAGGCTGAATGAGTATGCTGCCTACCTACTGACCCCCAGCCCCAGCAGGAGTCAGGCCTGCTCAGCTTCCACCATGAAGCCTCCAAGTTTGGCTCACCCACCTCCCTCCACTGATCCTCACTTGCCCCCTATTTTGACTTCAGTAGCCCCCCACCCCTGAGTTCAAGAAAGCAGAGACCCCAAGCATAACCTGCATGGACAAACTGGCTACCCTTCAAGATCTGATGAAGCCAGACCAAGATGAGCATCAGGCCAAAGCCAAGACTGAAGCAGTGCATCAGGTCAAGGTCAAGGTCAAGGTCAAGGGGGAGTTGAGGCACAAGATGAGAGTTAGAATCCCACAGGATGAGATCAAGGTGAAGAATGAGCTTGAGATTGGTGCTGGAGCTGGGAGGATGACCGTGTGGACAGGAGGAAGGGGTCTGCTCCCCAAAGCTGGGGAGCTGAGCTCCTAGGGACAGCAGAGGTGCAGGGAGGGTGGCCCCAGCCTACCATGGTCTGGAGTGTTCCCTGGAGCTGCAGCAGAGCTAGGGCCACTGGGGAGTGGCTCCTTAAATAGTGCTCCTCAGGGCCTGGCACTGTTCCAGGTCCCGAGAATAGTTTGGAAGATGACCAAGAACAGGATGGGTACCTCTCTGCCAGACACCTCCTCAGGGGCATTGGGAGTGGGTAGGATTGTGGGATCACTGGGTAAAAACTATTGATCTAGAGACTGCCTAAGCCCAGAGGATCTCCGTGAGCATTGAGCCAACTGTTTTCTCTCCAGCCAGGGGACCAGTGCTCAGGAAGGGCCAGAGGCCAAGGGCCCACAGTAAGTCAAGACCTAAACCAGCTGGAATGACTTGGCGTTGGTCCGTGGAGGACAGGGCCACCCGCGCCAGCTGGGCACACACAGGGACTGAACTTGACCTGACTCCTGGAGCTGTGGAGTTCTGGATGGGATGCCAATCTCTAGGAGTCCAAGTCCTCTTGTGGGATGGGGGACAGACACATGACACCCACCCAGTCTACTAATGGACTCATGGAGACCATTTCTGCCCCCATCTGGCCTCAACCAATGTGGCTACAATTGTCCCTCAGTATTTGTGGGGAACGGGCTCCAGAAAGAACCTTGGGATACCCAGATCTGAGGGTACTCGGGCGCTTAGATAAGTGGCTCAGTGTTTGCATAGAACCTGAGTGCCTCTCATATGTTCTACACTGTCTGGGTGGCTTCTAATACCTGATACCATGGAAATACTCTGTAAATAGTTGCTGGACTACTGTGTAGGGAACAATAAGAAAAAGCCTGCACCTGTCCAGTGCAAGCACAATCATTTCTCCTAGCATGTCCCATCCACTGCAGATTTAGCTCTTGGCTGCAGGACCCATAGACACAGAGGCCCATCAGGATTGCTCTGTGGTCAGCAGGACCCCTGTTGCCAATTGCCCACCCCTCCCCAGGGAACCATTCGGGGCTTAAAATGCTCAAGGTGTTGAGAGAATAAAGAAACAAGAACATTTGAATATTTGGTCTCAGTCTGCCCTGCTCCCTCTCCACAAACCCATCCTGGCTAGACCTCTCGCCAAGATGTATTCCCCACGTGTGCCAGGCTTAGCCCACACTTGGCCCTAGGAAACTCTTCCAGGTCCAGGCCAGCCCTGGTGGCCCCAGCGTGGCCTCCAAGGCCTCCTCTGTCCATCTGGCCATGTTGGTTGCTGTGTGGGAACAGCACATCTGATCAGTTTCCAGGGCTGGCAGGGCTGGGCTCAGGCTGTGAGCCACAGGTCCCCAGGAGCTGGAGAGCTTAACTGTCCCCGGAGGTGGCCTCAGGCCTCCAGGCCCTGGTACTGCTGATCCCCTCCCTTGGGAGAGGCCCTGTGACACAAGTTGAAAAAGGGCCAGTCTATGTTCTGAAACACATCTCTTCCCAGTCAGCCTTTACTTCATTTTCCAGGGAAGGAAACTGAGGCACACAGGGATTTAGATCACTCCTCAAGGCTGGCAAGAGTTGGTACCAAGATGAGAGGTGCTGTCTCTAGTAGTTCCATTAGGAAGTTTCTAGATGTTTCCAGAAAGTTCTCCTTGACCTCTCTCCCAGCCATCTCTGACTATAGATGCATGCCCCTGACCAGCCCCTTTGGCCTCACTGAACACCTGGAATGAAACCAACTAGGCCTTGGCAGGATGCATCTTGACCCATTTTGACCCACTTCTGGTGTGCCCCCCTTGGGGGGGGGACCAAATGCATTCTCTAAAGCTGATCAGCAGGCAGGGGTAAAGGTACATACATCTGACTCTTTAGACAAGAACCCTCGATTCTAGGCTCAGCCAGCCTCGACCTCCTGCAGGAAATGGGCTGTGTGACCATTGCAGGTTCCTGGTCCTTCCTGGACCCATGCAGGGGGATTGGAAGACACCATGTCAGCTGTGGAGTGTGGTCTCAGAGCCTGGACATGAGGCCTCCTGGCTATGGCTCTAACTTCTGATCCCAGTGGTCCCTGGTTCCTTGCTACTGCATGCCAGATCTGAGCTCCTTCCTCTGGGGATCACACCCGGGACCTCAGTGTTGCTCTAGAAAGCCTAGGACAGCCTGAGCAAGCAGAGGGCCTGAGCTGGCCACTGAGGTCAAGGGCCAATGAGAGTCACAGTGAGCCAGGGCAGAATCACAACAGAGTTTACAAGAAAGAGCCAATCAACTCAAACTGACAAACCCACCAGATGCTCTGGAGAACTAAGAATTCATGCTTGATGAATCCCAGGCTTGGAATGTTTCAGTAACCTAGGAAGACAGTATACAGTGGGTCTGTCCATCCTTTAACTGTTATTGAGCTTTTACTAAGTACAGGGCACTGGAGACAGCAGTGAATCACACAGATAGCTGTCAGGGAACTTGGAGAGAGACTGCCGCTACCTTTCAGAGGAAATGCTGCAGGCTGGTACCCAACAGACTGGCCTAGAAGAACGCATTGTGCCTGTTCTGGGGAGTAGATCAGGTAACTGTACTGGTTACCTCAGAGAGCCCACCAGTCCCAACAGGTGTGAAATCACGCAGTGCAAGCGTCCAGACGCACAACCTGTCTATAATTGATTTCAGGTCACTTGGTGGGGGGGGGGGGCTTGCCCCTTGCTTTTTCCCTGCCATCAAAACTTCAGCTATGTTTGTAGCAGGGCACTGTGGCCACAAGCTCCTTGAACAGGCGGCCTCTTGCGTGTTTCTGCGGCATAGTGGATGCCCAGCCTTCTGGACCACAGCTATAAAATCTGCAAGAGGCATTTTGGAAAACATTCTTCTTCATTTTAAAGGTTTCCTTGTCTTTTCTAAGTGGCTCCAAATTAGAGGAAGGCTCCAGACAGGGGCAGGGTCTGGAAAGGAGGGGACAGCAGGGAAAAAACAGACCATCCCCTAATTGCCCTCAAAATCTCAGTCATTTCATCAGTAATTAGCAAGCTGGGAATGCAAGAGGAAGCTTCTTTTGGGGATGGAAGGAGGAGAAGGCCAAGCAGCCCCAAATCTGGGTTCTGGCTGGATTATTAGCTGCTATGGCCAGAACCAGCCTCCACCCTCTGGGCAGCTTGCCTCTTGGGAGCCCCACAATTCTCCTAGGTGTGGGGACCATGGGGCTGTCCCCACTCCCAACCTGGAGTCTCTTTCTGTATATGTGACCAAAGAGAAAACAGGGATGGTGGCAAGGGGCTGGCAATGGCAACCTGTGGTTTTGGGTGTTTCCCCTGGACCCAGCAGGATATGTGTCCCTAGACCACAGGGAGTTGTCATTCAGTGTGGTGACATTTGGGGAATGGTAAGGAGCTGGGCTTCCTGGACAGACTAAACAGGGAAGGCCATGTATCTATCTTCCTGGCTCTTTCCGAGGGCCTGGGGGCCACTGTTCCAGCAGTGCATTCTGGGAGCCTGAGAGATACGTCTCTTGTCTCAGTGGTCTGGTCACAGGCAGTCACAATTCCAACCAATGACCAGACAGGAGTCAAAGCCACTGTTGGTAAGCGGCACCATGTCCTGGGTAGAGAATAATGGCTTTACTACTGGTCCCCTCACAGGAGACTGCTTTGGTACAGATTGCCCTATAAAGAATCAGCCTAACCAGTATGATGGTGCATGCTAGTAACCCCAGCATTGAGAAGCTGAGGCAGGAAGATCACCACAAGTATTTAGCTCCAGTCTGAGCTACACGGTGGGTTCAAGGCCAGCCTGAGCTACATAGCAAGACCCTGTCTCAAGACAAACAACAAAGAAACAACAAAAAAAAAAAGAATCACCCCAAAGCCTAGTGGTGTATTCCTTGGGTCAGAGGCCCATTAATGGCTGTGTGAGGATGGCTGTCATGAAATCTGGGACTCCCACAGTGAAAATGATCTTGCTGAAGCCATCTAGAAGTGGAAGGCTCAATGTGGTGGCTCAAGGCTGCCACACAAATATCCTCAAAAACAAGGTGGGCACTTCATAGCTTTTTGTGACAAAGCCTCAGCAATTGCACAGTGACACTTCTGCTTTGATAAAGATTGCCCTGTGAGGAATCAGCCTAACGAATATGGTGTTTTATGACAGATATGTGGCCTACCTGTCTGGTCTGTCTCTCTTGGTCAAAGCAGCCACCCAAGCCTGCTTGTTGGCAAAGAAAGAAGATACAGGCCCTGACTCCCAAAGGTGGAGTGCTAAGGAATTGGCAGATTTTTTGTTTTGTATACTGAATTACGGAGAAAGAAAGGAAGGAAAGAAAGAAAATAAAAAGTTGGAGACGGGATCTTGCTAAGTTGACAAATTGCCCAGGTTAGGCTTGAACCTATGACCTTCCTGCCTCAGCTTCCCAAAGTGCTGGGTTTACACCTTGCCTGGCCTAGAGATATATTTGACAGCCACCACTCCCACCCAGCCAGGGCTCAGGGATTCTCAGAAAGTGGCATTTGGTCTCGGAGCTGGCAGAGAGAAGCTGGAATTGAGACTCAAGCCCAAGGGACTCTGTCTCACAGCCAAGGACGTGAGCCCAGAGAGGCAGGAAGTTCCTCCAGAGTGGGACGCTGTGGTGGGTGGCAGTCTACACCAGGAAGTCTTGAGTTTGGAGAAGGTTCTTAGCAGGAAAGAGGGGCCAGGCTGAGAGCATGCAGGGACAGCCTGTGTGCCAGCTCCCTCCAGCTCAGCCTGGGTACCAGCAGCAAACCTGCTGGGCCCCAGTGTCCACACAGGCTCTTCTGACCCCCTGACCAGCTGGGGCATAGAGGCTCCTGCTGTCTCCTCCTGCCTTCCTCCTGACAGCTATAGGAATGGAGCTTAGAGGCCCAGGGCCACTTCCTCCTGCTGCTGCTGTGTCAGCCCTCACCTTAGCTATGATGGACAAGGGTGCTTAGGATAGAGCATGCTCTGTGCCCAGTGTAGGGAGTGTTGCTAGGGGGCTCAATGCGGAAAAGAACACAACATAAGAAGAGCCCAAGAGGAATCTGGTGAGGTATTGTATGTGCTGTAATCCCAGCACTCTAGGAGGCTGAGGCAGGAGGATTATAAATTCAAGCCTAGCTGAGGCGATTTAGGGAAATCCTATCTCAAAAAGCAAAACTGGGGATGTAGCTAAGTACAAAGGATCTAAGTTTGATCTCCAGTACTGCAAAATAATAACAGCTCACCTAAGTTTGCAGACCAAAATTAGAGAAAAAGGAGGGCCACAAGGAAAGCCAACGTTTTGGCCCTAACTTTCCAAGGTCAATTAAGACTCAGGACATATGAGAACTTGTACTGTAATGTCACATAACTCAGTAGTGTCCCAAATTTTCTGATCAAGGAGATTATGGGGCCAAAGGGGAAAGTGATCTATGATGTAGAGTGTGCCTAAGGAGAGTCCCATGGAGAGAAAACATTCTCTCAGGCTTTCACAGAGAGCACATTGGCCAAGCAATGGCCATGACTCATCCACATGGCTAACACTGACAAAGGATCTACAATCTGAGGTACAGGATCTCAGGATAAATCCTGAGGGGATTTCACTGACCTTGCCAGACCCAAAAGCTACAACTCTTGTTGCATAAGTCCTGCTTTACCTTGGTCTTAACCATCCAGCAGAAAAGTATAAAAACGAAGTATAAGAAGTAAAGCCATGCTGTTATGTTGAGCTGTAGGGGACTCAGGTCAACAATTTCTGACATTGCCAGTGAAGCAGAAGACCCAATACTATTATGGACTACTGGACTCTTTTAGAATATTTTGCTGAGTTAACACACCTATAATATTCAAATAACGGAACTTAACAAAAAAAGGGGATACAGATGAATGTCCATTTTGTATCTGTGTATTCAAAATGGTTAGGATAGATATATATTACATTCTCTTAATGAATAGAGTGATTTGTTCTAATGGTGTTTGTAGATAAGATATCATGCCCACATCTTGTACAGCAATTAACCACTAGGAAGAATGTATGCAATGTGTTAATTATTGAAACTGTCCCACCAATTTGGTTTGAAGCTGTCTCATTGCTATTTGTTTCCCAATAAAATTATGGGGAAAAAATAAAATTTTTTGAAAAATAATAATAATAATAATAATAATAATAATAACAGCTCAAGGGGGTCATGTGGAGAAGAAAAGGGGCACATACTGCCCTTGGGAGCTGGCAGGGCTTCAGCCCATGGTTCCTTTTCTTTCCCCCAAGAGCCAGGTAAGCCTGCATTCCTGGACAGCTGAGGAAACTGAGGCATAGAGTAGGAACAAGCTTGTTTAAGGTGCCCCTCAAGACTTCCAGCCAGGACCCTGCCAGAGGCCTCTTCACACAGCTCTGGGTCTGGCCAGCAGCAGGAATACCACAAACTGTAATCATATCAAGCCACATCCTGAGGCCTTAACAAAGCCAGTAGCTCAGCAACATGCCATGCAGGCTGGCTCTGGGTGGCTCACAGAGATCACAAATGACCCCAGAAGTGAGCCAGCAGTTTGGGCCACTTCCCCAACCAGGGATTCTCTTCCTCAGGCTAGCCTCAGGCCGTCACAGGAGGGACAGTGGAAGCAGACGCGACCCTTCAGCAGCCCCCAGTCAGTGGGCTGATCTGCAGGGACTCTGGGGCCTTGCGAAGCCTGCCTGTCTGACCGCTACTGCATGTGCCTAGTCTCCAAGGCCTCCGCTCCCCTGCCTACGGTGTGGAGCTGGTCACATTGCAGTGCAAGTTTGCTATGAGGATCAGAACACTGTGTCTGGATCTCAATGAATTATTATCAATACTGGCAGCAAATGCTGTCTGGTCATGAGCAAAGAACACTCCAGTCCCTGATAAGGTCCCTCCAAGCATGCCTGACCCGGCCCTCCTGGCCCGGTTTTCCTGGCCCAGTATACACAAGGGCAGCTCCAGATGGTGGCTTCCCAGGAAACACACACCATGTCTCACTCATCCTGGGTGACGTTGGTGGGATCTTCATGGGCTGTGCCCATGGACAGCTGCTGCCGTAGTTGCTGGCTCAGATGCTTGGGCCAGGTCCTGCCCTGGGACGTCACTGCCGGACAAAGGGAAAGTAATCAGAACCCACATCAATTTCATCCTTACTTCAGTCATACAAGGCAAGAAAATGATGCCTTTCCAAAGTCAGCAGGAAGCCACGTGCCGTGTGGTGCACACCTCAGCGCTCAGGGGGCTGAGGCAGGGGAACTAGTACAAGTTCAAGGCCAGCCAAGTTAAATAGTGAATTCAAGGCCAGCCTGCACTCCATAATGAGACCCTGTCTCAAAAACAAAAAAAAAACAAAAAAAAAAAAACAGTTAGCTGGAAGCCAGGTGCTATGGTGACTCACGCCTGTAATCCCAGCAACCTAAGAGGCTGAAGCAGGAGGATTACAAATTGGAGCCCAGCCTGGGTGCTCATCAAATTAGTGTGACTCTGTCTCAAAATAAAAAATAAAGGGCAGATGTGGTGGCACACACATGTAATTCCAGCACTCAGGAGGCTGAGGCAGAAAGATCTCAGAAAGTTTGAGGCTAGCCTGGGCTGCACAGTGAGTTGAACATCAGCCTGAACCATACAGTGAAACCTTGTCATAAATAAATAACTCTTTTTTTTTTTAATTTTTTTTTTTTAACATTTATTTATTGTGTGTGTGTGTGTGGCCAGCTCAGCCCACCAGGGGGCGCGGCTGGCTGGCATGTGGTGCTGGAGGATCGAACCGTCGTCCCTGTGCTTTGCCAAGCTTGTTCCAAGTAGGTGCTTTAGACCACTGAGCCATCTCTCCAGCCCCAATAAATAACTCTTTTAATGGTAGATGTTATAAAAAGAAATAAGAGCCTGGGATACAGCTCAGCAGCACAGCGCCTGTCTGACAAGTGCAAGGTCATGAGTTTAACTCCCAGTACCAAAAAAGAAATAAGAAATTAAAAAGGACTTGGGGATGTGGCTCAGTGCAAAGGCCCTGGGATTAATCCCCAGTACTGCCATACTTATGCACACACATAGAAAATTGAATGAAAAATTTACCAGCTGGAATTTTTTTCCCTGAGCCAGTCACTTGCAGATAAACAGCACTTCAGCCAGCAAGACCCCAAATCACCTAGCTGTATAAGTGTTTTCTCCAGAAACTACTAAAGGACCCACTCTCTCCCTCCTATCCTTCCCTTCTCACTTCTTTTCCTTCTACTCCCTTCTCCCTCCTCCTTCCTTCCTCTTCACAGAGCACTAGAGAGGCCCTAATCCAATTCTCATAAAAAACAAAACTTGGAAAATGGAGCAGGGTGGTGCACACCTTCCATCCCAGCACCCAGGAGGCTGAGGCAGGAGGATCACCAGCAGTTTGAGGCCAGCCTGGACAACTGAATAAAAGGGTGTCTCAACAAACCACAAAAAAGAAAAGCAGGGGACTTGCACACAAACACACAGAGAGAAGATGGTGTTGAGAGAAGCTAGCAATAGCCAGGGGCCACCTGGGCCTGGCAGATGCTGGGAGAGGAACATAGTACAGCCTCTCACTGCCGCCGACTCCCAGGTGCCCTCCTTCCAGACAGCAGGTGTGGGAAGCAACAGAGAGTGACGTCAAGGAAGAGAACCAGACAGCCACATTCCAGCCAGGTGGTCAAGGTCCCCAGCAGCAGCAGGAACTCATCTTTGCTTGTTTTTCTGCTCATCTTAATACTGTGTTTGCTGTGTAAAGAAAGCAACTAGTTAGCTCCACAGTCTTTGTTCCTGAGCTCAGAATCTTACTCATCATCAGAAAGAAGCAGGAGAAATAGCAAAGGAGGGATCTCCCCGACACCCGAGCAGCGTCCAGGGCAGGAGGGGCCCCTAAATGCAAGAGCAAGACGAGGATGGCGGAAGTGCTGCTTCTCCAGAATCTAGATCCTGAGTTCTAGATTATGGTGACATCTTTGGTGGGTGTGCACATGCTGAGCTCATCAAACGATGTGCTTTGGGCTGGCCAAATAGCTCAGCAGATTAAAGTGCCTGCAAACAGGCACAGGGACCAGGGATTTGAGATGGCAATTAAGACTGGGCATGGTGGCATGTGCCTGTAATCCCAGCTCTTGGGAGGCTGTAAACAGGCAGATCACTACAAGTCCGATCTGCTAGTGAGACCCTGAACACCCTGTAGACCCTTCCCTAAAATACAAAGAAAAAGAAAAGAAAAACTTGTGTGCTTTAAATAAGCGCAGTTTATTGGACATCCACATATCTTATTAGAGCTGTTTTGTAAACACAATAAGTCAGGTGAAGTGGAGCATGTCCCATCAGGAAGCTGGGGCTGGAGCATCTCAAGTTCAAGCCTAGCCTGGGCAGTTTAGCGACACCTTGGCAATTAAAAAACTAAAAAAGACTGAAGGGTAGCTCAGTGAGTACTTGCCTAGCATGTGTGAGGCCCTGGGTTCCATCTCTAGCACCGAAATAACAATAAAGCAAAGCAAGCCCCAAGGCTAGACCCGGCAGGCTGGGCAGGGGTCTCTGCTGGAAGAGTAGAAAGGTTTCCCTAGAACATTGGGCTCTTCTCTTTCCCAGTTCTTAGCTGGCTTCTCTGGGAGGCGTCCAGCCACCCTGGTGTCCCAGGATGAGGGACTGGCTGTTTTAAAGACAACTATGGGGCACTGTGGGGCTGAGGTGGAGGGACAGGAGTCAGTGAACACTGGCAGGGGGTTGCTGTCAGCCACAGGAATGGACACTTGAGATGGGAGGCTGTCCCGAACCAGCGGGTCAGTCAAAGAAGGTCACCTGGGGGAGGAACGGGGAATTGAAGAGGGGACCAAGGACAGGAGACACGAGAAATGAAGACAAGACAGGATTCTGATCAAGTCTCGTTTACTTAGGGGAGGTGCTGGGTATATATAGTGGAGGCATAGGGAAAAGACGATGGCGGGTAAAAGGCACGAGTAACTAGGCAACTGGGCTATGACAGGAAGTCCCACCTCCTGGGCATAGCAGGAGACTTGTGGGAAATAGGCGGGGTAAGAACTAGGAACCTAGCTCATCAGAGGTAGGGGAGGAGGAACCTGGAAACCCACTTGCAATAGGATTGGAGGCCTGGAGTTATTGTGCCTGCCGCAGGAGGCAAACACCAAAGATGGCAAAGAGTGAAAACAAAACTTCGTGGATCTCTAAGTGTCCTGTCCCTGGACAGCTTGTTACAAGCTGCTTGGGATTGAGTGTTGGATTTCCATTTTATTCCTATCTTCGTGTACCTCCCTTTCAGAAGGGGACCATTTATCCTCTACCATTGTACGCCGAGAACATATAACTTGTGTTTTGATTTTTACAGCTTACAGCTTGAAGCTAAGGGTTTGCCTTAAGTCTCGGAGGAGGCTTTTGGTCTTGGACTTTTGAACACTGCTGGAACCACTGAGACTCTGGGGGAAGGGATGAGTGGCTTTTGGGCTGTATGAGAGATGGCTACATCATGTTAGGCAAAATTACAACCCTGCTATTGGCTCTATCTGGATATTAAGGGTGGTTTAAATATGCTGTTTTGGTGTCAGGTTGACAAGAGGCAGATCTGGGGTGGTTAATTTTGATTGTCAGCTTCGTTAGTTTGAGAGAAACCTCTGCAATTAGCAAAGCACACTTCTGGGTGAGTCTGGGTGTGTCACGGATGTGTGGCCTTAGGGACTCTATCTGGTCCCTGCCCCCCTCCTCTACGACCCCTCACTGCTCTCTGCTTCATGGCTGCCACCAGGTGAGCAGTTCTCCCTTCTGCCATTGTCTCAGTTACTCTTCTCTCGTTGCTGGGACAAATACCCGACACCCAAAATGACCCAAGGAAAGGTTTACATAGCTCAGAGTTACTGGAGGTTTCAGTTCAAACTCAGCAGGCTCCAAGGCAGAGCGGCACATGGCAGAGAGCAACCTTTCATGGTGGTAAAGAGCAAGAGAGCAAAATGGAGGAGTAGCAGCAACAATTGGCTACAGAGAGGAAGTCTGTCTCTCTCTTTCTCTGTCTCTCTTATGTTAGTTTCAGGCTATCTGCCCCAGGGTAAGTGTAGCACTCACACTCATAATCCCAGCAGTACTCAGACTCATAATCCCACCCTGGATCATCCATAATCCCAGTGATCATGAGTTAATCTCAAACTCTAGAAGTCCCCACCCATGACTACATGAGGCTTTAGGGGGACAACTAGACACAAAGCAAAACAGCCATGTTGTTCCTGCTTTGGATTGAAGCCTCTGAAACCAGAAGCAGAAATAAATTTCTTTTGGTGTTATTGTTGTTGCTATTTTTATTGCTGTTGCTGTTGTTGTATTGTTATATTGAGGGTTGAACCCAGGGCCTTTGCACTAAGCTATGCCCCCAGTCAATTTTTAAATGTTTTAAATTTTGAGACAGACAATTTAACTCACTAAATTTCCCATGCTGGGCTTGAACTTGTAATCCTGGGGCCTCAGCCTGCTAGACAGTTGGGGTTACAGGTCTGTGCCACTATGCCCAGCTAAAGTTCTCCTCCATTAAGTTATGGGGCTCAGATATTTTGTCCCCACTGGCAAATACACATGCTAAGCCCACATCCATCCAGGCCAACATTTGGGCTGTTTCTGTTGCTCACAGCCAAAGTGCTAGAGATCTTTTGGGAGAAGTGCATGTGACTGTCACCTTGGAGGACAAAGAGGAGTCTTGTGTATTCTAATCTCACCATTGCTTGTCACCATGGCCTCTGGGAGCCCTTGCAGGGCCCAAGCAAGAAGCAGGGCTCATGTCCCCTCCTGAGGAAGCCAAGCCACCTGCTGAGCCGTGACCAAGCCTTACCCAGGCTGCCAGCCTCCTGCCCGTGTTGCAGCCCCCTCTCTCTGTCCTCCAAGTCCCCTCAGTGTGGCAGCACAGCCCGGGCCACCACCCTGGCGGAGGCCTGGCCTCCCAGCAAGCAGTGCATTTCCTCAGCCTTGTTTACAGTTGTTGAACTATTTTTGTCAAATTAATTAAATACATGCTAAATCCTCTTCAATTTGTTGTGCAACAAATTAAAGATGCT